CGCCAATATTTAGTCGTCGCCAATGAGCATTGGCGACGCCTTTATTCCGTCGCCAATGCACATTGGCGACGGATCAGTGCCCATCGCCAATACACATTAGTGACTGATTATCCTATTGCCAATGAGTGGCCCCCACAAAAAATTAAGGGTTATTTTAATATTAGTCTCTCAAGTCTTTAATATTTCAAAAGTAATCTACCAACTTATGGAAATTGCTAACACATCTAGGGGTGGAAATATACCAAATAATTAACAAATAGTTTAATAATTGTTTGAATAACTATTCAGTCATATTTGATTCGATAGTTCATTTAACACTAAATAAATATTTTGTAGTATTCAAGTTTGCTAACGATTAGAATTTGACCAGATGTATATTCAATTTGTTTGTCTATTAAATATTCATTTAAAATTGATCACATGTTATTATTTGTATTATTACATATATGATGTCATATTTTTAACCACTTATCATTTCTACTTAAGTTTTATATACCGATTTTAAGACTTAAATAATCTTAAATCTGTTTCTAATTAAATTTTGATTTAAATATATACACATCATATAGTATAAAAAATAATTTTTATTTATGAATTTTAATACTACTTAAAAATTAAATTCTTTAGCTGAATAAATATACTTTGATATTCGATAAGTAATCGTGAGTTTTTGGCTTCGACTTTGATTAGTTTAGAGAAAATAATGAGAAAATGGTGAGAGACTAATGAGGAGATCATTTTTAGTTATATGTGTTACGAAAATGTAACCATATTGATCTTGCTAATGATACACCGGAACTTATCATAGCCTTTTTTAATTAATTAGGAATTCTATGTTAATTAAAAAAAATTCTTTCATTCTATATGCTAGTAGATTCGTTGGCCTCCACTGCTCTGGCCTCATTTACAGATGAACTTGAGCCTGCAAACATCATTAATGAATTCGAGAGGAGCTAAACGAGAGTTAATCACTAATGGACTTAGGTTTTCATGTTTTAACGGGTCAATTGGGTACAAACGAGTTGGATTTTTAATGGGTCCAGTTTCTTATGATTAAAAGTCAAGAAAAACTGGTAGTAATAGTTATATTAAAGGAATATTTATTTAAATCTAACCGGTGTTAATAAGGGGATCTAATTGTAAACATTGTGACGATTTGAGTGATGTAATAGAAATTTTCATGATTTGAGTGACTAATTTTAAAATATTGAAGATTTGATCGACTAATTTGGAAATATTGAAGATTTCAGGGTTGCAATAGCAATTCACTTAAATGACCTAATTTTAACTCTAATTACACAAAAATCCAATATTACCCTAATCATAATCTTAATATCATAATAATCCAACAATAATTCAAGGATGTAAAATGATGTTTTTGTGCCTAAAAAAATTGGCGGGAGAATTCTGTTAGACCCTAGAGGGGGGTGATTAGGGTCTTATGCTAATCAAATTCCAATTAAAAGCCAATTAAAATTATATAGATCAATATGTTCTTACAAGAGATAGATATGAACAATAAGAACAATAAGAATATGCACAAATAAAATATGAGACAAGCAAAACACAAACATACGATATGTTTACGAGGTTCGGTCCCCACGACCTACGTCCCCGCTCCTCACCTCGAGGAGATATCCACTATCACAATCCGGTTTGGAAGCCGGAACTTCTACACACTCGGTTTACAAGTTCACCGAAAACTCTCACACTACACAATCACTCAACAAACACACTTTACACACTAAGTGTAGGAACCTAGCCCGTGTCCTCCTCCTCAAGTGCTCGATTACAACCTCTCCCTAGGTTCGTCAATCGACGCCACTCCTATTGGATTTGACCCCGTCTCTCTCTCCTCACACTTCTCTCGGTGTACAAGTGTATTACAAGTGATTCTCACAAACAAAAGTTAAATACAATGATTTGTTCTCAATTAACAAGTGAGAACACAATAAAGCTCACACTCACTAAATCCCACACTACAACCCACAATATATAATATGAGAATATCAAGCTCAATAAGTGTGTGTGATAATAGTGAATGAAACTCAATAAATATAACTCAATGAATATAGCTTAATCAAATGAAAGTGAAATAATAAGCTATATAGGAAAGAGTTTAGAAAACTTCTCAAAGAACAAGAAGAGTTGAAGAAATGATGATTCCAATAGGGTTTGAAAGCCTCTTCTTGTTGTAGAAAGACTTCTCTTGAAAACAGATTGATGAAACAACTCTTAAACAGCTCTTAAACGCGATTAATAACTTGTTAAACAACAAACTTGGATTTCTTGGATATTAGTGAAGAAGAGCAGCAATGGAGTATATATAGCACCCCAATACAACAGCTAGAAATAAGTAAAAGACTAAAAAGTCAATTTGAAAAACTAGCCGTTAGGCTCATTCTGACAATTCGTCGGTCGACCGGTCCGGTCGACCGGAAAGCACAAACAACTCAAAGAAACAGGGTTTAGAGCTGGCGGTCGACCGACGGAATTTTCGGTCGACCTTTTTGAAGAATGCTTAGAAAACCTGTAATTTTTATGAAAGTGAACTTTGATATAGGACTTGTAAATATTCATATATATATTGTGCATATAATATATGTATATAGTGAAGTATGAAGGAGCTGTAAACATGAGATAAAGTATTTTAACAACGTTTAATGAAAAATCATCTATATGATAGAAAACGTCAAAAATCGTGTTAAGTGTATATATATTGAGCTTAGATATAATCATACTATATATGTAAGTAAACTAAACATATACCTAGGTAAATCCACGCAAATGAACTTGAATCTTTAATGCTTGATTAACGCGTGTTGAAATACCTGAAAAAAGAACATAAACACAAAACACTAGAAAACTTATTAGTAATAAATTGTTTGTCAAATCATCATAAAAACTATAGGGTCAACAATCTCCCCCTTTTTTATGATGGCAAACAATTTATACATGAATACGAAATATATACTGATAATCCACATATAAGCCAAAACAAGAGTAAATCATAACAAGACCATATACAAATACAATTTGTAAGCTATATGTGGTATTTTCTCCCCCTTTGACAACATCAAAAAGGGAAAAATGAAAGATAGGAGCAATGCTCCCCCTGCTTATAAGCATAGATAAAAAAATAAAGAATTTGTATGTCAAAGGCTCCCCCTGTCAAAAAGACTGAATGACATCTACTGATCATATATACAGGAGCTAAACCAACAACTATCCATCAAACATATGCAAAAATGATGCGAGTAACTCAAATTCTATAAACAAAACATGA